ACTTTATAAAAAACAAAATCCGGAGCCTCCCAAACGTGACTATCCGGGGACAAGTGGCCCGGGACGGGCCGAACACTCAGCCTGAAGAGACCCAGGAAGAGGAAAAGAGGAGGTAAGCGGGACCTCCGCCTCCTGTGCTCCGGCGGCGCGGAAGAGACCCGGGTGGCCGCCCGGCTTAGCGATACCAGCCCCGCTTCTTCCTCAGTAACGCTCCGGAGCCTGCCGCAGCTACCGCCTCCGTCCCGAGGAGGAAGGGAACCAACCCACTTTCAGCGCTCCAGCTCTTCTCTAAAGTGTGAGTGGCCCCGGGAAAGGGAATTGAGGGGTAGAGAGGGGGAGGATGCCGGTGCGTTCTCCAGAGTTTTGCCGATGTTTCTCCGGAGTGCTGGGAGTGTATAGATGTGCGGGATACCTGAGTCCTCACTGCGGGAAGGCATCAGGCAGTCCTGTGTTTTGTAACCTTTTACCTCTCTGCGTGTGATACGCAAGCCTGCAGGTTTCTTTTCGAGGAATTCTGTCTTTCCCCAGAGTTGTACATTTCTGGCCAGTAATTGGCAAAAGGAAATTGAGGAAACCAGAGCATATGTGCGCACAGAGGACGTCTCAGTGTATGTAGCTTTTCCTGGTACACCGGGTGGGAAACAGCGCTGTAGTTTTTGTTTCTGAGCAACTCCTATTTGGGTTCCCAAATGGGAGCCTCTGAAATTAAAATTCCTTTGTTTTCCTGCAGTCTTCCTTGAGAGTTTTCATTTTAGTACAGGAGTGTTTTTTGGTTTTTTTTTTTTTTTACCTTCTCATTTCCTGGGTGCAGTTCCTGTGTATCAGAAGGACACGGTAACAAGTATCAATTACTAAGGAAATTCGGAATTCTTAGGAATCACACCTGATTTGGGGGAGAGCATTCAGTACTTTAACCAGTTTATTAAAATGGTATTACATTTTTCCTTACCCAAATTTTTTTTTTAAATAGCATATGTCCTAATCGATAGCACTTTTTTATTGGTGGAATAACTTGTGACTTTGCTTATTTGGATTGTCTTTTCTATCAAATAAGGATGACTTTTTCCCTTTCTGTTATTTTAAAGGAGAAGTCTATAGAATCTTTGATTTGTGTTTTAGGTATCCTCTCAGAGTGCTAAATTAAGGTGCAGGAAAATAATCAACATTTCATATATTTATACAGACCTTAAGGGTTAAGCATAGGGTGGAATTTTATATAACAACACAGACAGCACTATACTGAGAATTACGGTCCCTCGAGACAACTGTGTGGGCTTACATTCTGAACCCAATGCTGAGAGAGGCTCTGTGGAATGAATGTAAGCCTGGGGTTATCTGTGCTAACTTTTCCATTCAGGATCTTGATTAAACTCATTTAAAACTTTCCCGAACACTTTTTATCCTGTACTGTTTTCTTTTGAAGTAATGAATTCTACAATTTTTTCCATTTGTTTATTAACAATTCATTTATTTGTCCCAAACCTGTCTCTTTAAAATTCCAGGAAACATCCTGAGCTTGTGTTTTGAGAAATGCTAGAACAGGCTGGAGTTCGTCTTTTCTTGGTTTTGTAGATTTTCATTGTTCCTCTTTACCATCATCTTTCCTGACTCTTTTGTCTGTTTGAGAATAATTTCTTCCATCCCTTTGATCACTTTGCCCTCCTGTGGAACTTCTCCAGCTGTTTTGTTTTTTCTTTATATGCCTTGTTCTTGTTATGCTTTTGTTAGGAATCTTAAATTCTGTCTATTTTACGTAGGTACTGACATTAAACTTTTGAGTAGTGGATGTAATGTTGGATGTGGAATCAAAGACAAATGCTGCTGGATGGATCTGATATTTTGTAATCTTGAGGAAGTCACGTATCCCATGTTTCACAAAGATAGAAAGATAAATCTAGTCTTGCATAGGCTGTTTTTTGGGGGAGGAAGGGTGGACAGACTACCAAACTAGTTTGAGTGTAAATTATATTCCATCGGAGTTGCTTACTAACTTTAAGACTTATTGCTTTGGCTATAGATTGGTCAAAAATCATGACAATGTTTTATTGTATATTTGGGTAGCAAAGAAATAAAGTGTTTGGGGGTCCCTACCTTTGAGGTACTTTTCCTTATGAATGGCAGAGGCAATGATACCCAAATTGCACAAAACTGTGGGAAAAGGGGAATGGACCGGTTTTCTATGACCACTATATTGGAGATATTGTTTGGTACCTTATAGATGTGAATGTGTTTGTACATTTTTCATTGGGAAAATGTTGATATTCGACTATATAGAACATATTGGAGTGTTTGAGCCAGCGGAAGGTGTCTTTTAGGAAGAAAATAGCAGGTAGAGATAAAGTGTTTAAGACTTTTGGAACTGGAGGATGTGAGGAGCAGATGTAATTAGGAAGTTAGCTTGGTGGGAATTCAAAAGGAAGTTGAGTAGGCTTTAGGGTCAGTTTGTGTTTGTGTGGGTACATGTTTCAGCTCAAAGAATCAATTGAGAACAATGTTCCTGAGAGGGTAGTTTTAGACCACTGAGGAGAAATTGTATTTTAAGCCAAGAGACATTATACCTGGATTAGGATTTTGTTTTTCTAGTGAACTTACATTTTTATACCATGGTCATTGAAGAGTGATACAGATGGAAGGGTGAAAAAGAAGGTGCTTCCAATATATTAGTATGGTGCTAGTGGCTTCTTATAAAAGCTAAATCAGAAATGAGGCAGTGGACTTTGCTTTGGACATTAAATTCTAGGATTAACGTTGGATACCAGTTTAATCTCAAGACAGTAAAATAATGAATAATACCCTGAAAATGTAGAGTAGGGAGTCATTATCAAAGTATTAAGGTTTCTTTTTTTTAAATTTTATTTTAGTGAGTTATAGTCAGTTTACAATGTTGTGTCAATTTCCAGTGTAGGGCGCAATTTTTCAGCCATATATGAACATACATATATTTATTGTTGCATTCTTTTTCATCGTGAGCTACAAAGTATTAAGGTTTCTTGAGAGTACTGATGGAGAGTAAACAGCTGAAAAATGGGTATTTTTACTTGGGGGGAGGGGAATCTATTAAAGTTAGCAAAAATCTTGTAAGAACAGAGTATGGATGGACTCTCCCTAAAATAGATGTTTTAAAAGTGAGTAAGAGTTGAAGTTGAAAAGGGAGAAACAGCCGGTCTCAGGGCATATGATTATTTTTGAAACCACCAACAAGCTTTTTGTAGGGTATATAGGTCCCTTGAGGTTAAGTTCAGAAGAATATATAGGATTTCACTGTTAAGGAGTTTATAGATAAAAGGACAGATCTGTTTCACCAAATTCATGTTTTTAAACTTTGCCCTTCATTATCATACTAAGTTTGGTCTTTTACATGACGAAGTAGGGCTAAAAATAGCTGGCAAAGAAGGCTGCTTCCCCTGCTCCGCAGTTGGTGTGTGTCTTTGTGTCCCATACAATGGAGGGGATATCCCTGTGTTGGCACAGCAGTGCTGAAAATGCCTTTTAAAAAATCTTTTTATTAAAAAACAAACAAACAAAAACCAACTTGGCATGAGAAAAAATCCTGACATCTTTGAAGCATGAGACACTGGAAGACTGATTTTAAAAAATTTAAAACAATTTTTAAATTTCTGTGGTGAAGCCTAGAATTTAGTGTTGATTCAAACAAGAATTAAGGATTGTGAGGTAAGGAATCTATAATATCCACACTGTTTTGTGTTCGAATTCATTATCTCCCTAGTAGCTTCTTTGACCTCTTCTTAGGAGTGATAATTCAAATGACAGGACCTTCTGGGGGAAGAGCTATTTAGACAGGGAGCTAGATCTAAGGTGGTTCTGGAACAGATGCCATATGAGTGCCTTCTCTCCTCACCCTCTATTTTCCACAACATTTTTCATGCAAGTGAAGTCATGTTCCAGTGAACCTTGAAGGGCAGCCTTTTTGGGTTAATGTAATTTACTAGAAAAGACAGTGGGGAAGGTGGGACTCTGGTAGTTGGGAGTGGTAACCTCATGTGCTTTTCCTTGACAACTTTGGGATTGATGTGGGATGATTAAAGAGCTTTAAGGTGTGCATTTGTGTTTGTGTGTGTTGACACCAGATAACCCCATAGCCCACACCTAGGCTAGCAGCGGCCCAATTCACTTACGTTAGAAATGGTTCTTGGAGAAGTTTGTGCTGCCTCTGACATCTCATTGTGTAGAGGAGGGGTTGGCAAGCTTCTTTTTGGTGAAGGGCCAGTTAGTAAATATTTTAGATTTTGTAGACCATATGGTTTCTGTCACAGTGATTCAGTTCTGCTCTAGTAGTGCGAATGCAGCTACAGACAATATGTAAATGAATGAATGACTGTGTTCTAATAAAACCTTATACATAAAAACAGGAGGCAGGTTGGGTTTGGCTTGTAGTTTATGGACCCCTGTTGTACACAACTGCCAAGTCCAGCTACATGCAGTCTGAGCTTCACTACTACAAAGCTGAGACTGCCTATTTTAGGTGGTCTCTATTTTCTAAACGAGATGTGTTCCTTGGGATGTGTTCCTGAGATGTCTTAAAATGATTTTGCATAAAGCATAGAGTCTACTGTTAAACAAGTTACTTTTGCCTCCATAGTGATGAAAACTATGGACTGAAGAGCAGGGGCAATGCCGTCTATGAAGGGATGCAGCCAAAAAGCAGGGACTGCTTGGATTTCTTATTCAAAGATACCATACCATGTAAGATACTGTTTAGTGATATAATAGCTGTGCATCATGGCCAAAAGTATCTTTGGAGTATCTTTGAAGAAACTTCTGGGTATAATTTTGAAAAGTTCTGCAAATAAGTTGTAAAACATTTGCTTTAGATGTAAATTAGAAGTATTTATAGTTTGTTTCAATCAGGTAAAAATATTTGTCAAACTGTAAGAACACTAAGGTTTTATACTTCAGTTTCTTCAAATCTTGATCTTTTGTAGTGACTAATTCAGTGTGTGGAATTATTGCTCCATCATTTTGGTTTTGTTAATTTCAAGTATTATTTCTGAACAGATCACTTAAGTTATTTGAATGTGTACATTAAAAAGCTTTGCTGTGTTCTTAGAGATAAATGTAACATGGGTTAATGTATTTCTTAAGTGGATCTGTCTCAAATGTGTTGTTTAGAAAGGATAATTCAGTTTTATGTGCAATTTTACATCATAGCTAATACCAAAACATTTGTTTCATGTGTCAACAAATAGCTACGTTGGATGATGGTGCATTTTAACCTGGTTTCATAAATCTTATTTACCTCAGGGTTCCCCTATTTCTGCCAGGGGAAAGGGTTAC